TGCCCTTGTTTGCTGCATAGTTTCTCCTCAAAACACATAAATTAACTACTCCCCCCTACATTTTCAATGTATTTATTTAACATAAATAGCAAGGTTATTAATGAGTGAATTGCATTGGTTATTAATTAGCATTACACAAACTTATTAGATGGTGCATTTCAGTACATAAACATGCAAAAACTCATTGTGATACACAAACTAACAAAGACCAAAAGAGCACGACACGACTAATCTTACCAAGCTATGGATGCTGGTTAATAATATATATAGAATCTATTATATGACACTGAGTTTGTCACAAGTCTACGATTTACCATTGACTTTGTCACGTTCTACAATATGCCATCGAATTTTATTTAACCTCTACGATTTACCATTATCATCCGGTTAGCCTATGTTAGTATTGTACAATTTTGTCCAAATAACCAAAATACCTCTAGGACAAAAATTCCAAAATATCATATTATAAACATCAGATTGTAAACATCCATCCAAAACTTGGCCAAAAACTTAAAATATGATATTTCAGAATTTTTGTCCAAATTTTAAAAGTTTTTGTCATATCCAAATTACATGTAAACTTTCAAAATTTGTATTAAGTTGGTCATTTTTGTCATTTGGAGAAAGTTCAAAAATTTGGACAAAAATTCTGAAATAGCAAAATTTAAGTTTTTGATTTACATGTATTTTGGTCATTTGGATAAAGTTGTATAGTACTAACGGAGGCTAATCAGGCGGCGATGACAAACCATAGAAGTTAAGCAAAAGTTGATGGCATACTGTAGAACGTGACAAAGCCAATAGTAAATTGTAGATCTGTGACAAAATCAGTGGCATATAATGGATTCTCTCTTAATAATATGTTGTGCACATATGAGGAGGGTACGGGGCATGCTATATTAATTTGTATATTGCACTCTCTTGGTCTTGGTTTGTATGAAAAAAAAGAGTTTGTGCATGCAAGTTCATGTACCACTTACCCATCTAACAACTTTGTGTACCGCCAATACAATCCACTATTATTAATTTTTCTTATATTTTCCTTGATTTCATACTCTTCTCGTAGTACACATATAGTAGAATATGTTTGAGGAGGTGGATTCTCATCCCTCGAGGGGATATCCCCTCATTTCATGCATGTCATCTAAAAAGTCATGTAAAAATTTGTAAAAATTGATAAAATAGGTTGGTATTTCAGGCTGCCAAGTCAACAACGGTTAGATAGGTTATCCCAAATATTGTACCGGTGTGATTATGATGAATAAGAGCAACACCGGCTTCACCCAATAGGAGTAGGGCTATTACATGTCAGATAAGGGGCCCAAACCTGTATAAAAATCCTTGCCTCCATCTCTTTTACTTCAATCTCGCATATACCCTGGTACCAACGATCCCCATACTATACAAAATACTGTAGTCGCGATCTCAAACGTTGACACTATTCACAATCAAATTTATTAATCTTTTTAAGGGAAAACACATCACGAGACTGTGCCTTTTCATTAAATAAAGCGGGAGAAAAATACAGCCCCTATGGGCAAGAAAAGGGAAAAAAAAACTCTGTACACTATACAGTGTGAGGCGAAAAGTCACGTAAGCGCTTTGCTCCTGTCATTGCCCATGTTTGCGCCTCTTCATTTATTTTGGCAAAAAGGAAAGACGTCGTGGCCTCATCATGCTTGAAGATTCGTTGGTTACTCTCCTTCAAATCTCCAAAACAACAAGGAAGATGAGAGTGCGCAGTCCATTTCTGTAACTCCCGCTGTGTTTGCTAGAGATTCCCACCAGTCTGGGTCGCCTCCCATTCTCTAGGGTCAAGCTGTTGGTAAGCCACCCAGACAGCTAGCATGCTCCATATTCTTTTTGTGTATCTACAACTGACAACAAGATGTAGAGCCGTTTCGCCTTCTCTACGGCAGAGGGGACAAAGCCTATTATTTTGCCATCCTCTAATTGCGAGCCAGTCGAAGGTCCAAACCCTGTTTTGGATGACAAGCCATGCGCGGAATTTACATTTCCCCGGTGCCAAACTTTCCAAATGAGCGAGTGAAAAATCGTTTTTGCGCCCCAAGGCACTATGCTGACGACGCCGAGTATTAGCCAAAATTTATTAATTTTGTTTCTACTTATTGAATTTGAATTTGTATGTTGGTGAATGCCATATCTCATATTGATTTATCATGTGATTTTTTAACAATTTTTTAACAACTATTTAAATATCATATAAAAATAGAGGGGATAAAAAAGTTCCTCTATATGCTGAACATGTAAGTTGGAGTATGTAAATTGCAAATCAACTGGTGGTTCAAGTTGTCCTTGAAAAAAAACAAAAACAAAACGGATCGGATGTCAGCATTGACACTCCTCCAATCCTTGGTGGCTGGACGGAATAGATCGATCCAGCTAGTATATGTTTTTGCAAGTTGGTGACAAACGCTGACTAGTCCTAGCCAAATGGACACTCGCAGTGGAGTGTACAGTATTACAACCGTAACCTGTACTACGTACGTACGTGTACCGTACGCATCGTCCTATATATCCGTGGCACGTGACATACGACCGACATGTGTGCACTGGCTGTGTGTACTCCGTACGCGCATTGACCGACTTGTTGGGTTTGGGTTCGATATATGAGAAAAAAAAAAAAGAAGCATGGAACCGATCGAGCTGCAGCGGGCGGCCGACGCTGCTGCCATCGATCTCGTCGCGTCGGTAACCGTAACTGCATGTTCCTCACCGTACGTTACGCCAACGTTAGCAAACGAGAAAAAAACGGCCGCCTCCCTCCTCTGTCGCATCGCCCGATCACTATCAACAAAGGAAAATGTCGTGTCTCGGGGTAACTTCTCTTCTGCGTGCGTAGCTAAAACATAATCGGAGCCAAGCGAAACGACATAGGGTATATTTGTAAAAAAGTAATAATTTGTAATAAAACTTTTATATACGTGTTCTTAACGATCTAAAAGCAAATGCTGAGAAATAAACTTCGATAAAAAAAACCTAAAAATCAGCTCCAAATTTAAGGTCGAAATTTAAATTTTGGCTGATAAGCATAAGTATAAACGAAAAGATGATGCCCAATGGCTTATCAGTACATAATTAATTAAATATTACTTTCTCCGTTTCACAATGTAAGTCATTCTAACATTTTCCACATTCATATGTCTAGATTCATTAACAACAATATGAATGTGAAAAATGCTAGAATGACTTACATTGTGAAACGGAGGAAGTATTATTTAGTTTAACAAATTTTAAAAATAAATTAATATGAATTTTTAAAACAACTTTTTTTAGATTTTTTTAATAAAAATCATAATGCTTAATGATTCGGAAAACGTGCTTTCAGATAACGATGGAATAGAAGTTGGTAAACAAGAGTGAAAACAAGCTCTTACGAAATGACCCTATTTAGAAAAACGCAAAATCTAAACCGAGAACGCTCTCGATTTAGTGTTAAAGAGCGACGTACTCATTCGTGAGAGAAGGTCAAGCGCTAATAGTGCGTGAGAGAAGGTCATGTGCTGCTAGTACAGCTACGTGAGAAAAGGTCCTCTTGTTACTAGTGCACACAATGCATGTCTATTTTTTTTCTTTTTAAGAATTTTCTCTCAAATTACTTATCCGATCTACAATCTGATTACACCATTACGTTTGTTGCAATTAAATCTTTACAATAAGATCTTACATGATTATATTATGATGAAAAACTATTTATATTTATAAATTACTTTTATTATATACATAAGTTACTTTTATCATATATATAAGTTACTTTGAGATTTGACTAAATTACTTCTATACATTCATAATACTCTAAGTTGATTATGTTTATTATTGTTTTTAGTTAATTTTATATTTTGTGGACTTTATAAATCTTCTCTACATTTTACTTGCGAATTTACTCTACATAGTTTCTTATTTCAGCTCACTCAAAATATAATTATTTCTACTACAGAGAGTTACTCCCCCCATTTCATAATGTAAGTCATTTTAGCATTGCCCACATTCATATAGATGTTAATGAATCTAGATATAGTTCTAAATTAAAGTTTCTTTTTGTTATAAGTTACTTCTATAATATATGTAAATTACTTTTAAGCTTTACTGAATTTACTTTTATATATCTAAGAAGTAACTTACTGAAATCTAGAAGTAATTTAGACATATCATAAAAGTAATTTTTGATTTTTCATCAAAATATAATCATGTGAGATCTTGTTGTAAATATTTAATTGTTACGAATACAATAGTGTAATCGGATTATAAATCGGATGAGTAATTTAAGAGAAACTTCTAAAAGAAGAAAAAAAAACATAGATATTGAGTGTACTAGTAGTTTTTTTTGGGAAAGAAGGGTGTCTCTCTTTACCACTATTCAGCTAGCACTCTCGACGTAGTTGTGTCCTTAGAAAAACCACTGAAAGGACCTTAGTTAGAAAATGCTAATAACACGAGGACCGAAGTGCACACAATTAATTCTTTTCTGAAAGCTCATAAAATTGATTCAAAAATTTAAGCAAAGAGTACATATAGAAGGAAAAAAATATTCCCAGTACATTGCCTTACAAAAGGATATAGAGTTCCATCGTTTCGTTTCGTTTCGCTTAGCGTATCCTTATTCTTACGGTTTATTCGCAACTAAAAGTTTTTTATAACTATAATTTTTATATATGAGTCAGTAAAAAATAAGCTTTGATAAACTTAAAATACCACAAAATATTTCAAAATTATAAGGAGAAGTAAAAACGAAACGAGATAAGTTTGAGTAGCACTTGCAATCCCAAAGCTTATGCTGCTGACCTAGTTAGAAAATGCTATTTGCACAAGGACCCGAATGCACAAAACGGACTAGAGAACTCTTTTAAAGCGAAGTCAGCAGCAGTAGTCAGTTCCACTCCTACTAGTACTTCTCTCCACCGTACGCGAGCCGAGCCGATCCCGATCCCGAGCCTGAGCCGAGCCGAGGAGCTAAAGCCTCCAAAACTCGCCCAGTCTCCAAAGCGAGAGACAGCTCATCGCCCATTCGCCCTCGCGCCGCGCCGCGCCGCCCGCCGCCGCCTCGCCTTGCCTCCTCCGCCGCCACCGGCGCTAGAGCCGACGCTGCTGCAGCGGAGAGTGCGGTGCCCTCCTCCTCCTCCTCCCCCGCGCGCGCGGCGGCGGCGGCGGGGGTTTCCGGAGTTAATGCGCCCGTGAAGAGGCGGCCGCGTCGGCGTCGGCGGAGAGAGGGAGAGGGAGAGCGAGTCTTTTGTGCGGGTGGTTGGGGCGTGGGCGGTGGCGTGTTCAAGGCGGGGAGCTACGTTTCCTGCCGGAGGAGATGGGGGGTTCCAAGGCGGAGGAGAAGCCCGCCGGCGGCGGCGGCGGCGGCGAGGATTGGTGGTGCTACCAGTTCGGCAACAAGGTGAGATTTTCTTTTTCCTTTTTATTTTTCTCATTTTTTTTCTCCACTGTTTTTTGCTTCAGTTCCAGTGTTCCACCCACCTTTCCTTGCTAGCTTCAAGGACGAATCCTTGCAAACTTTATCCTTTGTTGTCATTTCTGCCTGCATTCGCCGCTGCCTTGTAGTTAAGTTCATCGTTTTCTCCTTCGTTTCAAGAAACTTAAAACTTCGGCCAAATTTTTGGTGAGAGCCGCGTGAGGAGAGTAAAGAGGATAATAAATTCCTCTTGGGTGTTGCTTTAATGCGGAGCGGTTTCGATTTGTCGGCCGTCTGATCTAAATCTTTAATTATCTTGTTTAAATCTTTTTTTTCCGTTTCTGTCTCTCATCTTAGTACAGTACCGGTTTGTACCTAAAATGTTCTTCAGACCGGGGATGAGCACGATTTCTTGCATTTCTTCTTCTTCTTCTTCTTCTTCTTCTTCTTTTGGGCTTAAGTTTTCTAGCCCTGTGTTTCTATTGGTGGACACGTTTGGAATCTCTTTTCATTTCTGGTATCCTGCTAGCTATACGTAATCGTGCAATTTATCATTCATGCCCCGTTTGATGTGCAATTTTTTGTTTTTGTTGGGTTAAATGCATGTTTTTATTTTCTCTATTTTCCAATTGGTCAAGTATTTTGTATTTCGCCTGTCAATTCTTGCATTTCTTCCATCCCAGTCAAAGACTAGTGGGGATAAATCTTGGGGGTACAGTAAGTGAGTAATAATACAGTTAGGAGAAGGAACACTTAAAGATTGGTAGTTTGGTAGTATTGCACAGTACACAGAAAAAGGGGATTTTTGATTCTTTGGCTTGTGATCCATTATTGATTAAGGAATATGATGTTGGGCAGGTACATGGGCCATTTGCCCTCTTTTGGAGGTAACACCTGGGTTAGTTCAGTTTATGAATGAAGGACCAGTTACCTTTCAAAATCTGATCTTTCCTGTTTGTTTCCCTGTCATGCCAACATAGATGCTTCTAAGGTCATATGCTTGAAAAATGATTATGTAATCGCTCTTGATTATATCTATGGATTATAACTTGTAGGTCTGGAGCAGAAAGCTAAAATAAATCAAGTGTTAGTTGTGATGTGCCTATAGATCTGAGTAGCTCTGTTTTGTTTCTACTGATTAACTTGTATTGATTGGACCTTCTTCGCAGGACGCATTGATTGTGAAGTCCTCTAAGAAATCACCCCTCGCATTGAGAATGGTTGTTTTCGCTATGACTATGATCTGCGGGATATTTATCTGCACGATGTGTATGAAGCAACTAGGAAGTGATAGCTTGTCTAGAATAGTGAAGATCGAGGTTGCAGAACAGCTATGCAATAAGTCTGCAATCCTGCATTCAGAGGTTCACTTTGTGCATTACCCACAACCGATAACTTATAGCAGGTGAGAGTTGTGCTGCAGTGGTTTATGCTATGCTATATACTTTGATTGTGTAATGTTTGATATGATTTTTTTTTCTTAGGAGTGAATGCAAGTGTACACCTGTCCGGTTCTTCGCGATTATCTCGTCACAACGTTCTGGAAGTGGCTGGTTTGAAACTCTTCTTAACAGCCATATGAATGTTAGCTCCAATGGTGAAATTTTCTCTTCAAAAGAAAGGAGAAGTAACATTTCATCTATAACAAAGACACTGGATAAGGTGTACAATTTGGATTGGAATAGTAGTGCTTCTAAGAATGAATGCACTGCTGCTGTTGGCTTAAAATGGATGCTTAATCAGGTGAGAAGAAGAGTGAAATCTAGATTAACATTTTGTTTTTTTTTAATTCACCCTCCTTGCCCTTCCTCGAAGTTTGTTATTTTTTTTACTTGATAAGCAAAAGTATACCCCAAGTAAACTAAATATTAGACCACATTTTACTCAATTTATGAAACTATGGAATAGTTTCATGTGGCCCTGTTCGGTTCAGTTGTATCTCAATGATCATGACTGGGCAAGAATCTCTTCCAGTACTGTTGGCTGCTGCTGACACACATGCATGTTCCATTCTAGATGCTTGTGATTTAGGTATGCTTTATTGAATATCATGTAGCGAGTACGGCCTTGCTTGTAATTTAGGAACTGCCGGCTTGTTTGCCATGAATTGACTCTTTTGTGCAATCATGAACACGATCGATCTCTTGATTTATGCATCCTGTTGTTCTCAAGGAGATTGAGTATAGGTGTTATGGCTTGGTCCCCCCCTTAGTAATAACTCCCATTACCAATGTAGTGACATCTGTTGTGTGCACAATACAATTACAATCCTGCTTCTACTATCCATAACTATGCTTGATGGAGCATATGGAAATACAACCCATTCTTGTGGTAGAGCATTTTCCAGTCATGGCTAGAAAATGACATCCTTCTACACCAGCCAGAGTAGTACCCTTTTTTCTGATATGGTTACCTGTTAATGCATTCAAATATTACTCCTTTTTATGTGCTTAACTCTGGATGAGATCACACATGAATATGATTGTTAGGGTGTCATGCTCTCTGTTATTATCCTGAAAACACCGTCATTATTGAAACTGAGGTAGTCAAGACCCTGCTGGTTTAAACAAAGTGCGGTGTGCATGGTGTTATGTGATAGTTTCGAATTATAACTTTTTAATTAAGTAGATCTGGACACACATAGACTTACAATCTCCATAATGGCTATAATCCTTTGTAGAAGTACCTTCTATTCCAGGTTTCACCATATCAGTATAAATGCTTTATGCATAGACAAATCAAACTAACTAATCATGCACATGGTTAAAATGATGGCAAAGCAGAATAAGCATTCTTCTGATATTATGTCTTCAGGGTCTTGTGGCAAATCATGCTGATATAGCTGACTACTTCAATCGAAGAGGAGTCTCTGCAATATTTCTCTTCAGGTGGAACCTCCTCCGTCAGTTGGTATCTCAACTTGCGAATAATCATGACAGATACCTCAAGCAGTTGAATGGAACGCACAAGGCCCATGTTCACACGGCATATGAGGTAGTACTTGCCCAATTATGGCTTGCAAATTTCTGTACTACCCCTGGTCAGAATTTGATCTGTATTTTCTACCTTGTTATGCAGGCCAGTATACTTGCAAGATATAAGCCCAGACTCAACACAACATCATTAATACGGAGTCTGAAACAAGTAGATGATTACACCCGTGATGCTCTTGAAAATCTAAAGAGTATCAACCACATTACTATCTACTATGAGGATCTCATCCGAAATAGAACAGTTGAGTTTTGCGGATAATCTGTCGAGTGATAATGTGTAGCTGTTGCATTTCATCATGCTGCTTACATGTATTGCCTTGTCTTGCACCTGCAGAAACTTCTTGATGTCCTGGATTTCCTCAAAGTGCCAAGGAGCAAACTAGTCAGCCGACACGTGAAGATACACACCAAACCACTTTCGGAGCAAATTGAAAATTGGGATGAAGTCTACAATGCTCTAAATGGCACTCAGTATGAGAGCTTCTTGAATGCTGACTACAGAATATGACAGTGTGCCTTCACACTCCCTGTATAGATATATCCTTTTTCTGGTTACATTTCTTTTTAAAATAGCTGGCCTTGATGTGCCTGGCGAAAATTTTGATGGTGCATTGCCACGGTTGCCCACGAGTGTTCTTTGATAGGTTCACTAATTGTCATAGCAGGGTTTTGTTTTTTGTTTTATGTTTTCTGTAACTGATATGCTCAGGATTCTAATCTTGTGTATTGCAGTGCTTATTCTTCTCCCATGTTAATGATATGCATGTTTCCAGCTCAAAAATAAGAACTATCCATCCATCATCCATGTTAGCTCTGACTTGGATCTTTCCTGCTCAGGTTAATGCTACCGAGTTATCTGATGTTAATAGGCTAATGTGCTCTTGACGATTCAGAACTGTAACAGTATGGTACTACAAGACTAAATTTCGCGTTACTTCGTAGTGGTGTTGTTTCTTTCTCTCTCTCTCTCTCTCTTTTTTTTTTTTTTTTTTTTTTTTTTTTTTTTTTTTTTTTTTGAGAACCGTAGTGGTGTTGTTTCGATTTTGGCATCAGCACCTTCTGCAGAGGCGTTTGAGCTGTTTGATTACTGAAGCTGGACATTTCCAACATAAATTCAATTTAACAGTGAAACGGAATCTTCTCTTGCAAAAATCAGGAAACTATCCCGTGTTCCAACTGTTCCTACATATATATATTTCAGGAATACCATTATACCGTCCCAAATTCATACCAGTAACTATCATTGGACAGAGACTTTCACCCTGCATCTCGCGTAGATGTCACTGCTAGTAGGTTAGTACTGAAAAACTGGCAAGAAACTTCCAGCTTTCCTGCTTGAAGTTTCTGAAGATTATGCAGTCTCTTTCAGATTCAGTCATTTTCTGCGAGTACCCTTAAAACAACCTGGACATTTCGTCGTTCGGTATTCCCAAACAAACAAAATTATATTGAAGCTGCTTGGTGTTGACTGTCTTCTCTTGAGTTGACCTGACGTCAATTCCTATTTTGAGTGCCTGTATTTTCAGAGAACACGGAAAAATGACTTGCGTTGGGATCACGGTACAACAGTATGCTCTGAATTTTCAGCAGAGTTATCACTGTCCAAGGGGGTAGATAAACTGGACTTTGTAGTTTGTAGATAGTGTTTTTAAGCTGAATTTAGAGGACAGACATTTATACAGTAGTATGTCATCTACAAAAGTTTGGAATGCATTTTTTTTTCTAGATTGATAATACAACATTTTGCGTTCGGCAGAAGTTCCCAACTTCTATCACCTTATCACCTTATTTTCTGGACGCATGCTTCTCGAACTTCTAAACGGTGTTTTTTAGAAAAAAATAATAGGAAAAATGCTTTAAAATATCATATTAATCCATTTACAAGTTTTTTTTAATATTTAATTAATCACACATGAGTCATTTGTTTTACATGGTGGGCCAAGAAGTTTTCAACCCATACATTCGAACTCAGGCCCCAGGCTTGTTTCCAGTGAAAATATTCTGTACTGGATAATGCCAACCAGGTTGAGGAAAAAGTACACCGAAGGTCCTTCAACTTGTTAGTCAGATACAAAATCGTCCCCCAACCGTAAAACCGGACATCCGGCGTCCCTCAACTTACAAAACCAGTCACAATAGATCCCTCGGCGGTTGTGATCCCGGTTTTGTCCCACGTGGTGGCTGACTCAGCGTGGGACCCAGATGTCAGGATGCCACGTCATCCCTCCCTTCCTCCTCTCTCTCCCTCTCTCACTTCTCTCCTCATGGGCAGGTCATGCCGTGACGCGCGTCGAGTGCCGCGGCCACCACCACTGTGACCTGTGGCAGCGAGGGGCAGGCGCAGCGGAGCGGGACGGTGAGGTTGTCGCCGGCAACGAAGCCGATGGCTGGTGCTGCTGCTCGTCGTCGTCTTCTTCGTCCACAACTTACCGGAGCACGCCAGGTTCGACGGGGTGCCCGCGAGCACCATTGCCATGAGCTCAACCGCAAGGTGCTCGAGCTTGCCCCGTGCACCGTTGGCGCCAGCTTCCAGCTGCCGACCAAGATATCAACAAGCGAAGAGACGACGGCGGCGAGGAACCGCCAAGGCGACCAGAAGGTGGGGACCCAGATCGCCGCCGTCTTCCTCGGCTGCCCCGACGACCGGGAGTCGGTGGCGTTCGCATGCCACCTCGCCAAGAACGACGGCGCCATCAGGCTGACCGTCATCCGCCTTGTGCTATTGGCGTCGTCACGCACGACGGCATCGCCAACGCTGCATGCATAGTTAGCTAAGGCTTTGTGCTATGCTAGTACGTGCATGTGTTGCATGAGCTAGTGGAGCAAGTCTATCGGTTGGTTAGCTTAATTTGTGCATGCATGCAGCTGGTAGTGGATCGACTGGAGCATGCATGTGTGGCACGACCTCTGCTGCCAGCTCCAAGCCAAGGAGAATCTCGCCGTCGCAAGCAAGTGTAGAAACTCACACCATCACCCCTCCAAGCACAGACGAAACTCACTGCCGAAACTCGCCGGGCACCTCCTCCAGCTCATGCACGCGGCTGGGCGGCGGCCGGAGATCGAACTCATCGCCATCGTCATCGCGAGGCGGCGGTGAAGGCGTGGCTCTCCTTGTTCGCGGCTGCGCAAGTTGGCCAGGGAGCCGTCGCACGTGTGGCTCCAGCTCCGCCACCGCGGTCTCCCGCAGCTCCGCCCAGCCAAACGGCAGCCACATCGGCGGCGCCGTCATCTTCGATCTCCCCTTCCTCTGCCGCCTCTCCCGGACCGGCTACTGGCAGTGGGAGAACTGTTGAGAATATAGGCATATAATGATTTAATATATTCCATAAATAAATCATGACATTACAGATGTATACTAGCATTAACGCATCATTAGATCTACACATGTAAACTAAGCAGTAAAACATGAACATATCAAATATGCGCAACATGTCGAACACGTACCGAGGTGGCGGAAAGACCGGTTGCTCGGCAGGAACTACTCGCGGTTGCGAGCGTCGACGAAGGCGCGCAGCACGCGAGCGGAGAGGAAGGCGAGCTGTTGCGGACAAACAGGAAGCAGTCGCGCGAAGCGCTTTCCAAAAACCTTATTGCTGCCTTCTCCCGGTGCAGGACGTCGAAGGCAGAGGTTCCGGCGACCTGCTCTCCCGATCGCCGGTGCACGCTGGCGAGCGAGATGGAGTAGTCTACGAGTGACGGCGCAACACAGAGGAGGAGGCAAACCCTAGATTGATTTCGCGTGTGTTGCGTGAAGGCGGTGGCACGGTTTATATAGAGATAGGTCGCTTGATCAGGGCGCCCGCACGATCTCCACTCTGCGTAACCGAGCCGGATAAGTCGCGCGTAACTTATCCGGACTCCACGCCGTTTTCACGCACCGGATTTTTTGGAATGTTTCCAACAACAAAACAAATCCGAATTTTCCTGCAGCAAAACAAAACTGCAAAAGAAGGCTGCATCTGCACAAGGGTGAGGAGCCAATTTTGCGGACCATTCGACGCGTACGTCATGCACGTGCGCCGCCTGCCCTGCCTTGCAGGGCCGAGCTGGGCCTGCCCTGCGAGATGAGCGAGCGCGCGCGTGTTCCCCCTCTTCTCTCCACCACACATGCTTCAAGTGGCTAGGAGGGCATCCTCCCTTTTAAGGAGGTCCCCCTCTTCTAGAATAAGTAAGGTGGTACTAACATCCACATGCATGCCATCCCATGAGGTGGGCTTTTGTGATTTTCCAAAGAATTAATCTTCGAATGGGCCTTAGCCCATCTATTAATTCCAACAAGAACCACCACCGCCGGCCGAAGCTAGCCAAGGGCACCAGCGGTGGCCGCCTCGCCATCTCCATCAGCAGCTACGGCGACAGCTAGATCTCCACTCCGCCGTCGGCCGCGTCGACCCTCTTCCCTACCGCGCCGATGGAGCTGCCGCCGCTGCATTGGCCCTCGGATCTCCTCTCAGTCGCGCTCCTCCTTCGCCAGCCGCCGGCCGCGCCGGTGTCGCCGCCTCACCCCGACGACGACCGCCGCGCTCCTCCCCGTGCGACGGCAGCCATCGGCGGCGCCGCCCGTCCCATCGGCCCTCCTCTCCGCGCCGCTCCTTCCCCGTCAGCCGCCGGCCACACCAGCCCTCCTCCACGCGACGCTGCCGTCATCCACGCCCAGAGGAAAGAGGAAGAGAGAGAAGAGGGGAAAAAGAGAAAGGGTGATGACGTGGTCTATCTGACATGTGGGGCCCACATGGGTCCCATGCTGAGTCAGCCGTCACGTGGGATAAAACCGGGGTCAAAACCGCCAATGGACCTTTTCTGACCGGTTTTGTAAGTTGGGGGACGCCGGATGTCCGGTTTTACGGTTGGGGGACGATTTTGTATCTGGCTAACAAGTCGAGGGACCTTCAGTGTACTTTTTCCACCAGATTGATGCACTGGTACTATAGCTACTACTTGAAGGCCCAACGCACAAATACATTTGGGTCTAAATAGGTTTCAAATTCGATTCATGGGCCAATTTTATAGTCTGGAATGTCAGCCTTACACGGTTGTTGTTGCACGTACAGGTCTAACACTACAGATGTTTATTTATATGTTGTGTGATGACTAAATTCTGTTGGGTCGTTAAGTTTTATGCTTGTAAATGACTAAAAAGGTATCTCTTCGTCATTTGCACTGTCATAGAACGGGGAATTTTGCTACTGAAAAGCATGTCATGTCCAAATCTTGGAACTGAATTAAGCAGGAATTTTTTTTTTCAGAAATGCCCCACCAACCCGCATAAAGGATATACTACCTTTTTTGCGCACAGCGAGTTTTGTAAGGAGCTATAGTAATAGACCTTTTATCATGCGGTATTATCAATTGATCACTAATTAATATACACAATAATACAGTCATGGATTGGTTGTTAGACAGAATGATGACGAGCTAAAAGTATTGTAAAAAATGTTTAGTAATGTATGACCACATTCCTTCACTGTTTCTGCCAAAGAGAGTAGAAAGTTCAGTTATATCGTTGAGCTAATTTCTCAACCACCTACTTATGTTTTAGGATCCCAGCACTGTACAAATAATTTGAGATCGCAGTACTATATTCCCTCAGTCGTAAAATTAACATAAAGAATTTTAGTTGGATGAGACACATTCTAATATCACGAATCTGAACAAAGATCATATCCAGATTTATATATGTCTCATCCAACCAAAATCTCTCGAAGCAAAAGAGCACATTGCTTGTGTTGCTGTCAAAATCCTCCAGCTGCCTCATGGGCTCATGGCGGTCCTCAGGAAAAAAATAATAATTTGA